CCCTCCCCCCCAAAAAAACAACCAAAAAAACACAACCATTTTTGAGCAGCAACAGTAGATGGTGAAGAGGTTTTACATGTAGACAGGCAGATTATTATTGAATACTCAGAAGAAGTACAATAACGTCACTCGACGAAATAAATACCTCTCTGCAATACTTTCCAGGCAAAATACCAACAAACGGAAGAATGAGGTTTTCTATTTAATTAAACCCTCCCCAATCAATGTTCGAACTCTTGTCTTCCTTGTGCAACAGCAAATAGACTAACCGTCACCCCAACATAGGCTTACCCCAGTGATCTCATCAAAGATCTTGTAGTAGAGAATCTTTGCTCTCATCTCATTTTCTCCAAAATGGATACAAGGTGGTGCCTAATTAGGAACAAGTGCAGAATAATAATACGCTGCGATCGTTCACGTAGCTACGTTTAAAAGCGTAATGTTTAGCGTTATTTTGGTCGTAAAGTTGGAGTAGGGTCGTAGGGTTTTCGCGTGCACTGATTAGTAAAAGCGTCATGGGTTGGCAGTTTGTGGTGGGGCTTAATTTTGTCTTTATTTTCCATGGAATTTGGACAAGATGATACTCGTAAAAGATAGTTTTTGAAAGACAAAAAATTGTGTGGGTGGGGAGAAAGTGTGTGTGTGTGTGTGTGTGTGTGTGTGTGTGTGTGTGTGTGTGTGTGTGTGTGTGTGTGTGTGTGTGTGTGTTAGATGGTAGGGGCAGGTTTGATCAAAACAGGTTCTAAAACAACATTTAAAAAAAACCAACATGAAAGAGTAGGCCTACATGTATGGAGTAGAAAATGTATTTAACGAAGCAACAGCAAAGTCAAAGAGCATCAACAAAGGTATCTGGGGAGTGTCAGATAGTCATCGTGGCTGAATTGGAAGGGGAATCTTGTGACATAGGCGTCATCCAAATTAAATAATGATATGCGCCAAGCAGAGCTTGACAATGTAGAAATAAAGAAATCTTGCGAATACCTTGATAAGGTAAGGATGAATACTAAAATATCAGCAGGGTGTAAAGCCGGATCATGGGGAACTAGAATACAGAAGCTGGACAGTCACTAAAGAGAGTGAAAATAGAAGCTATAGAAACGTGGTTTATCAAGTCTTACTGCTGATAATTTCTTATAACTTATAGGGACACAAATCAAATGAGGTGCACGTACTATACTTGAAGAAGCCCTGCTTATTCAATTTCAGTGCAGTGCGTGGTGCCCGCAATAAGAACCTAGCTTTTGATGCGATAAAGAGGGATTAAAAGTAGGCCTATTCTTTTCTAGGTCAGTTTTCGAGTATGTCAAGGTCCGGACTTGGTGAGTGCACAGTATTCACGAAGGTGCCCCCCCCCCCCCAGCCCACAACCGGTACATGGCTATAGACAGCGAAAGATCTTGTCAGTTTGTTAGTGTTTGAGCGCTTAATCGGCTGCTCGCACTGTATGCTTCCCGGGAAGCTGAGAA